AGTTTAACGTGTACCACCGGTGGTACACATGGCACGGAACGTGTTAATAAAAAAAATATTCCACCCGAAACGTGTATGTTATTTTGGAGAATGGAATATTGAGTAATTAAGTGATTATTTCGTTAACTAAGTATACTTGAAAACATTCTCAATGATATCTTTCCTTCTAATAATGGATGTTTCTTTCTTCCATGCAGAGTAGAACGAGCACGCGTGACTGCAGAACGAGCGTCGCGAGGATGATGAGCTCCATGCAAACGCAATTACCTGGATCGCTGCATGATTATCAAGTCGATCCTTACCGGCTTCTCGATGACGATCTCAAAGACGTCTACGAGGATATACGAGAGGTCAGTCTCAATCTCTCTCTCTCTGTGCTTCATCTAAGGCATCTAATTAAACTAAATTGAAAGAAAAATTAATTAAATTAATGATTGTGTCTTTCGACGCGTTTTCTTTTTTTTTTTTTTTTTATCGAGATGTTACGTGAAAGAAATTTTTCTTAGCTCAGTTCTCTTTCGTCAATAGATCGCGATCCGATTTTCAGCCGATATTTTCATCGAAGAAACTCCACTTTGTGTATGTGTTTCGTAACCGGTTAACAGTTCTTGCTTTCCGGATCTAGAGCCACATTCCCCCCCCCCCTTGAGTATTTTGAAATACTCTGACGGAAGTAGTTGACGATTCGTGGCGAATCGGCGCGGTCTGCAGCGGGAAATCGAGTTGCTGCACTCGATTCGAAGGAATCGCGCAACGCCCGATGTCGAGTGTTCTCCGAGACGATCGAATCGATTGCGTTCGATAGTTTTAGAAGAGTCTGTCGTTTATTGGGGTCTAGAATACTAAATTGATTCGAAAGTAGCGACTGCTACTCGTAAGAATTTATTGACTTATTATTTTATTTATTATCATTGTTTATTGGGTTCCATAAAAATGTACGTGTAAATTACCAAGGCATATTTAACTTGCATTTATTGATTTATTATTTTATTTATTATCATCGTTATTATTAGTTCATCGAGATGCCTGTATCCAGTGAAACTATTAGAAAAATAATATTTTTATAGTATGAAAAATTAAATAATTTTTCCATCAATGTCTTGGTTAATTTAATATCTATATACAATTCGGGAGATATTTCTTTGTTTTTTTTTTTTTTTAATTAATTTTTGTAATTAATATTCCCTCAGTGTTTCACAAGCAAACGATTATAAATCCCCAATATTGATATCTCGATTTCTCGGATTAACATATCAATTCAAGGACGTTGATACTTATTAACATTAAATTTCTGTATTTCTACTTCTTCTCGCGAGCAAAGATCGAAATATTGTAACAATATTATATTAATATTTAAATATATTATATTAATATTTATCGTCAACATAATTCTAACGTTATCTCGTTAATAAATCATTGGTATGATAAGAGCCATGAATTGCTAACGAAGGCGTTAGATCATTCACCACTTGTATGTAAAGTATGTATGAAAAATCGTCGGCTAACGCGTTATTATAAATATTTATACCGACGGACGGTGTTTTCACAAATAGTCCGCCAAGCTAGCGAAAGCAGCCCAAGCAGACTTCACGGTCTGCATATATGGCCGAGAGTAGAACTTTTACTTATGGCTGGCTTGTCTAGGTCTCCGTAACAATTGTATTTGCGTATGCACGTGCAAACGCGCGTTTAGAAAGCACTTTTTCCTCGTCGCGACAGTGGAACGCGATAATACTAACTTGTCACGCAGTCACACTGTTGTGTATCGCGGGCTTTTTTAATTTTCAATCATTGTACGAGCCTC